GCTCTCAATGACGTCACGATAGTGGTCTTTTTAACTCTTTACGGCGGCCAATTTACGTTATCAACTCAGTTGCTCAAGCCAAATTACCTTGTTACCCCCACCGATGCAGCACCACAGTTTCTTTAGAAACTTACCCCTTTATCTAAAATTACAAAACAAACTTTATCTCAGTTTTAGTTTCGAAACCTATACACAGAATGCAAATATGGCGTCCAATTTGAGTTGCAATTTTTCTTGACTCACTAGCCTCGTCTTCGCGTGGAAACACGAAAGTCCAGAACAATGGCAATTCAAATTGGACACCATATTTCCATTCGGTTGTATATCCTGTGATAAAATGATTTTCGAAATCACTCATTTTATTTTCAGCTACTTAAGTAATAAGCCAGACTTTCTATCGGTTCACCGGCGTAATCAACCACGCGAGATGTTGGGAGAACACGCGATAAGTTTGTAANTCTGACTTCCTGGTGAAGTCAAACATTGTACGGGGAAGCAAGAAAACTGTTATCGAAGAGGACAAATCCTACGCTAAGACTACAAACGTAAAACGGAACTTCACTTGATTCTGATCAGGCATGCGACAACACTAATTTTAAGGTGCTGAGCTCGAGTTGGAATACTGCTACCGATCAGTTTACATTCAATTTGGCAGATCTCTCAGAACAAGTAAGGGTACTCCGGGCTACAAAGCGATCGTTGTTAAAGATCGCATGTAAGATATCCGATCCTATGCGACTGTTAAGCCCGTTTACCATTCAATGGAGGATCTCATTTCAAGAACTTTACAATGGGCGTGCCGACTGGGACGACCAGTTAAGCGACAAGAACGAGTAGAAATGGAATTCGCTTATTTGCGAGCTTCAAACTCTGCACAATGTGTCCGTACCGAGATGGTATTTTGACCACGCTTCAGGCAATCTAAAGTCAGTGGAACTTCATCGTTTTATAATTAGTGACGCTTCAGACAAGGCTTACGCTACCGTTGTTTACCTTCGCTCCATTTATGACGACAGACACATTGATGTGAACTTGGTTGCTTCGAAGAAAGAGGTCGCACGCTTTATTTGTTTAACTCGAGTCATCGTATTTTTCACATTGCTCGTTTCGCCAATTTAGTGGTTATACTGGGCATAATTTACTCATTCAAACGCTAAAATTCTCTCTCTTAAAAACATCGTCGAGGTTTGATATATCATAGGCTGATAAAAAGTAGTCACGTTAATTATTACATCAGCAAAGTACCGTCTAAACAGAAGATGTAAATAACTGCAAAGAAATGGATATTTAGCATGGCAGTCGGAGAAGTCATATAGCTTGCTAAAAATTTCAATCCTCGTCAAAAGAGCAACGAGAAAAGTCTGTAGCCAGAGGCGAGTAAGTTATAAACTTATCGCGTGTTCTCCCAACATCTCGCGTGGTTGATTACGCCGGTGAACCGATAGAAAGTCTGGCTTATTACTTAAGTAGCTGAAAAGAAAATGAGTGGTCTCGAAAATCATTTTATCAGGATTTGCCCCATGCCAGTTAAATGACATTTTCCAGTATACAATCTAATGTTCAGTTTATCACCACCTCTCATTATAGGCATGCTCACTAATAAAAAAAAATTCCATTGTAAAAGGATCCAATCAGTGTGGTTAGCGCATCATGGGAAACACAAAAAGTATCTCCTTTTTTATAGAAAAAATTTCACCTGTTAAATCTTGTTTTTAAGAGAGAGAATTTTAGCGTTTGAATGAGTGAATTATGCCCAGTATAACCACTAAATTGGCGAAACGAGCAATGTGAAAAATACGATGACTCGAGTTAAACAAATAAAATCGTCGAGGTTTGATATATCATAGGCTGATAAATTCAAAGCTTCAACGTCTACAAGGGCAACCCACGGGCATTTGACCGTCATCCGTGCCCGGGAAGAATTGATTTTGACAAAATGCCTTCCAAGGGGTGAGGAGTTTAAAAGTTGCCTGGGTGGTTTGGGATTTTAAACTCAGTGGAAGCGTCAAGTCTTTTCAGTAGCTAAAATACACATATTTCAAAAATATTTGATATTGGGGAGTTTAAGGGTAAAGAGCTCTCTTTCGTGAGCGAGTTGCTCAGAAAAGAAAAGCTCTATAAATTAAAAGCTGAGCAACAGTTTTGAAGATATGTTTAAAATTAGAGTTTACATTTCAATTGTGATTTAAAGCTCTTAAAATTTTTTTATAAAAAATACTGGTCAGTGAGTAGAGAATAATAGTTTCTAATCTTGCTTTAGTCGTTTGCAGGGGATGAACTGCATGGTATGAGATAATGAATGAACGAGCGCTTTAAAATTTACGGCAACCGCTCTAAA